CCCCTGGAGTCCCAGCATCTGTATGTGCCCGGAAAGAGAGGGAAACAGCTGGAGGTTTCAGCTGTCACCGTCTGTGTCCCTCCGTCAGGGCGTTGCGAGCGTTACCAAACAGGAGGGAGCCAGGCCAAGTTGTCCTTTTCTCATTATTTGGCGGACTAATGTTTAACCTGTCGTAGATATGGATTTCGACGCTTTATTTAACGAGAATACATTTCAGTTCTCGGATTTCCAAGAGTTCACGGTAAGTTGTTGAGCTAACACCACGCTAGCTAAGGCTAGGCGCTTTAGCTAGCGTTAGCTGACTTATGCGAGTAAACTTTGAAGCTCCTGTCCCAAAATATTGGCCGAGTAGGCGAAGACAGATGCTTTACTCTTCTGTGTGATACGTATTCACCTGTACAAATAGTCTTACCATGTGTAAATCTTAAAAACCTTAAGGTATGCAAGTGTCCGTGGATAGCATAATGCTAGTGGTAGCTGTTATTTTAGACTTCCGCCGACGAGCTGCGGGCCAGCCCAAGCCTAGCAGCAGTTATGGTAAACAAGAGCTACTCTCTGCTGTTAGCATGTTAGCATTGGTTTAAATATGCTAAGCTTGTTTTGTTTTTGTTTTTTTTTGTATCATTTTTAATTGTTTAATTTTTTTTTTGTTGGTATCGCCTACCAGCTTAAGTTCACCCAACAGTTTCCATAATAGTCAAGCTAATATACCTAATTTGGGATTTTGTGTTTCGTATAGTTTCTTCCTGGACACCAGAAATTGACCGAAAGAGTGAGAAAGCGATTATATTATGGCCTGGACAATGATGTTTCTTTAGATGCCCTTTCCTGCCCTGTTACAGGTAAGCAAAGCGTCTACTGTCACTTAAAGCTTTAGCCAAATTAATTATACATATAAAGTTTTTGGCTCTGCTTTAGAAGTAATCTGCTCCGGATGAATTCTTCTTTCTGACTTATTATAAGACAGTTTAATGTTGTTAATAGAATTTCAGGTGCTTAAAGCATAGTTTGTATATTAAGCAATGTCTTTTTTTTTTAATGATCAGAACCACTGATAAAAGAGGGTTAGAAAAATCACACTTGGAGCCCACTCTCTTTTTGACTTTTTCTGACTTTCTGCTTTCAGATATTGCCGTCGAAATCTTCCAAAAGTCTGCCCCAAGCCCAATACGAAAGCTCCAGAAGAAGTATGCTGCCCATGTTGCCAGGTTTGTGCTGTACTAAGTAAACGTAGACAGATATTATTCATTCTTTTAGAAATGGGCGATTGCACTTTGAATCATGTGCCTGAAACAATTTGTTTTTGTTTCAGGGAGGCCTGCATTTCTCCGTGTGCCATGATGCTGGCTCTTGTTTACATAGAAAGGCTTAGACATAGAAACCCTGAATACCTCCAAAAGATCTCCTCCTCTGACCTCTTCTTGATCTCCATGGTATGTTTTTAGGGTTCAGACGTCATTCTAAGTGATATTTTGTTATGATTTATTATTTTTTTAAGCCAGCATAATGTCGAGATAGTGCCATGAAATACTGTAAACTTTTATTCATGATTTAGATGGTTGCCAGCAAGTACCTGTATGATGAAGGTGAAGAAGAGGAGGTTTTCAATGATGAATGGGGAGCAGCTGGGAAGTTGGATGTCAAAACTGTCAACAACCTGGAGATGAACTTCTTGAACGCCATTGTAAGTGATTGTGTGCGTGTGTAAATAAGGTGTGCCTGCATGAACATTTGCTTCAAATGATGTGTCCAAACCTTCCTGTCATATCTTCAAGGAGTGGAGCCTCTTCGCTGACCCGAATGACTTCTTTGATTTACTAAGTCAACTGGAGACCAGGTTTGTTGTAACTCAACACTAAAATGCAGCATTTACAAGAATTTACATTTAGCCTACAAAAGACAACAGGATTGATTAAAGCCTTTCATTTCAAATATATCTGTTTGTGATGTGTATTTCCAGCATTGCGGAGCGGCAGGGGATGAAACGCGGCTGGTTCACCTACACTGACCTCTGTGTGCTGCTAGAGCACTCTGTATGGAGTCAAGCCCTCACAGCCATCTACCAGCACTTTACTAAGGTAGGAAGAGGACACATATTTTTAGAACATTAATATTTAGCCTTTATATTTAAGTGCTTTTTTTTATTGATCCATTTTATAGTTTTACAACCAAGCAAAGTGCACAAAGTATTGAAGGAGACCTTTTATGCCCATTTCCAGTTCCATATTTTCTCTTCCTCGAAGGGAAGGAAGTACATATTAGGATCAGTTTGTTTGTTTGTCTGTCCCAGTTGTTTTTGTCCCCAAGGCAAACTTTAACTTTGGGGGGAAAAAACAGCTCAGAGAAACCATAATGAGTAATGAGTTATATTAAAGGGCATGGAGAGAGCTCTTTAACACACTTTTTATTTTTTCAATACCACGCCCTGCGATGTCACAATGATCCCATAACAGGCTGCCGTATTACAATAAAAACATCATAAAACATCAAAGTTTTAGTATAGCCCTTGCTCTTCAGGGGGCAAAAGCTATTTGGATATTTTTTACCTTCTTATGGGCCATCATGTGGGCACTCAGTCAATTTCTTGTCTGAAATAAGCCATCAGTTCGCTGTCCCTTAAATCCACTCTTTGTCTGATTGGCTGCACCTCTCAAACATATGGTTTGAAGAAAAGGTCGGTGGGGCTTCGTTGAGTTGTGTGTCTGAGCTGACGAATATCTTTCTTTGCCATCGTAGACATCCAAGAGTACCGTCTCTTTTGGTTCATAGTGAATATACATAGGTTGACCTCATTATTTAAACTTTGAGCCTATTAAATATCAGCGTTCTTCATTGTAGCAGTGTATATGTGACAGAAAATAAAGAAAACATAATGGGTTTCCCTTCAAGCCAATAATGCAGTTCTGCGTTTCATCATAAGACTTCATCTCAATTCATTTTCAGGTATCCTGTATGCTTGGCCTGGTCTATCTAACCAGTGTGGCTGGCCTTATTGCCACCAGTGCTGTGATTCACCAGCTCAGTCTCTCTAGAGGAGGCCAGTCTCTTCTTCCGCCAGATGAGATCAGCCTGACCCACTTTTTGGCTTCCAACCTGAGTCCAGAAACCTCTTCCTCAGTGCGCCGCCTCCCTTGTTGTGTTCTGGCCAACAAGAGTGTTAACCGTCAGACTGGCTCACCTGGAAGCAGGCAACACCACAGTCAAAGGCCTCCATCGTCTTCCACACAAACATCTGTATTGTGTCTCTGGGGTTCCCTGCTTGCCTCGATGGGTCATATACATCCTGAAACGAAACCTGATGTGGAAGCCTCCCAGACCTGGTCTCCTGTGTCCTTCATCTGTCCTGGCTGTCTCGCAACACTCCCTCCTCTTGCTTGCGGGCTTCGAAACACCTCATCAGTCCCCCCTCACGGCCCCTTTGAAAACCATCAGCCTCATTTGTCGTGGTTTTCCTCCAGCCTCCTCGGTGCTACCAAGCCAAGTGTGGACTCTCATCTAGATATTTTTCCTCCTGTACAGCTGCGACCTTGCCACCCAAAATCGATGCTGCCAGTTGACAAAGTCCAAGCTCTGCTTATGCCTGGCTAGAAATGGCAGAGCTTTTCATCCTGTAGTAAAGGACTCTGGAAATGAAACCAGCATTGTTGTTGTCACTCATCTACTGCTTCAAGGCTTTTCTTTTTTTACATTTCCAGATCTAGAATACAGGAAAAAAGACGAGAGGAGTTGGGCACTTTTCCAAGAGGTTCACAGGGAGGAAATTTCTATATAGTTAAATACTGCAGGGTAAATTTGATTCAATTCAAATACCACAATGCTTGATTAATCACAAGCGTTGTAAAGTTTAGTTCATTTAATTCTCTGCAGCAACTAAATTCACATTATCACCCTTCTGTTTTAAGAGTTGGCCACTGTCGCTTGCTGTTGTAGGGCTTTTGAATTGAATGTGTTCCGAGTTGCTGTGTCACAGCGGTAATTTTTAAAGTGGACATGAACCACTATATGTGCAAAGGCTAATTTACACGATGGAGTCCTGCTCTCAACAACTGACATGGATGTAATACTGTCTGTTAAGCTGGATTTACGAATTAAGTGAAGTTAAAGTTTATAAAACATGTTTAGCGCCATCTTGTGTCAATATAGACCGTGATATCGTTGGGTTGGTTGCAGTAAAAAAGACTTAGATTAGTTTATGTTAGTTGACTAATAACTGAACCAATAACTCAGGGGAAAACAGGGTCACTAAAACTAAAAATCAGTCTAGGGGGTTACTTTTGTGCTGCCACTGGCTGCAACAATGAGTTTCATGCTAACAAATCGACTCCACTGTCACTCTCTGTCTCTTAAGCAGTAAGTGGTTTTAGGTAGTTTGGCTGGCTGCACTCAAACAGGAAACTCCACCTGTTAGTCGTTATGTTTCGGTTTCTGATGCATTTTATAAATGAGAACAATGTGGAGGAGAGCCTGTTTGAATCACCAGACTGACAAGCTGGAGTCCAACACTACAGCTTTTTCTCACCAAGCTGTGCAATCAGCTGACAAAGCAGATGTTTCCGAGATGTGATCAGCGCTGTTTTATCTAATAAAATGTCCTGTCTTTTCCCAAGCACAACTAAACAGTTTATATCACAGGTTACATCCACATTACAATCTCCTTCACTTACTTTTCCTCACTTGTAAGATTTAAAAAAATGCATAAAATAACGCTGATCACATCACGAGGAAAAATCAGAGTTTCTGACTTCCGGTCGTCGGTCTGCTGAAACACCCTCCAGCTGACTCAAACAGGCTCTCCTCCACACTATTCTTGTTTATAAAGAGCTTTAAAAACCTGCCCTTACAGCTAGCAGGTGGATTTTCCCATTCGGTGCAGCTAGCCAAACAACAACGAGCCATTTACATCTTAAGAGATGGTGAGTTAAAGTAGACAGTATAGCCTCATTTCTAACATAAATCTCATTGTTGCAGCCAGGGGCAGCACAAAAGTGATCCCCTTAAACTGATTTTTAGTTTAAGTGTCCTTATTTTCCCCTGAATTACTGTTCCTGTTACCAGTTAGCTTACATGAACTACAGTGACACAATGTTCTGTACTCACACAAGATGGCGCTAAACATATTCTAAAAACTTTAAATTTAGGCACTTTTTTTTAAAAAAAGCCAGTTTCACAGACAGAGTTACATCTACGTCAGTTTTTGAGAGCAGGGCTCAATGGTGTAAATTAGCCTTTTATACATGTAGTGTTTCATGTCCACGTTAAGCTGTTCACATTTGGCAGGTTAATGAATGTGTGTGGTGGTTACCAAGCATATATGAAAGTTGAAAGTTTTACGGTAAGTTGTTTTATTTTTTTTAATGAAGAAGGGACTTAAACCAGGCTAAATTTTCTTATTCATATTCGTTTCGTGTAGCCATATGCCTTTCTTTGATGCAGCTTGAGGATTGCAATAGACACTGGTCATTCACATACACATACTGTTGGCACTGATAGCTAGTTATAAAATCCGGTTGTCTTCTAGGTTTGAGAACGTTCCACATCATGGAAGAGAAATGGTTGGACAGGAGACCAGACAGTTGAAACCGTGTCTTTGTGTTACTGTCACATGTTTTTTCTGTTTTACCAGATGTGATATGGCAACAAAATATAATACTTACGTCACTTTCCTGTAACAGGGTCTTAGCCAGGTGGAACACCTTTGTAAAGGATGTGTTCCTGTGATTTCATGCAGTCTCTAGCTTTTTTGTTTTGTTTGTTTTTGCATGTAATGTCTTAAAGGAAAACGTCAACCTTCCTTTGTTGCGGGAGATTTGCACTTTTTGGCTCCATTTTCATTGATGTAGAACATCATCTTGCATTGTTACTGCATTATTGTCATGTTTTCAACACCAGAAGGGGAAATGGTTATTTTTATCTACACCGCTACAAATCTACATTTACTTTGTAATTGAACCTTTAACAAATTGATCTGAATTTTGAATTTGATACACTTTGGATCGTGAACCCCTTAAATTTTGTACATGTTATAAAATGCAAATATTGTAAAATGTGTAGCAAAAAAAAGAATAAAGACCGCATTTGTTTGAGATACTTTGTATATAATTCTGTGTCAACATACAATGAAGCCAAGCTGAATCTCAGTAAATGTGAAACAGTATGTTTGTTGTATGTTTGAACTTTTAACCTTTAAATGAGAGAAAACAGACTAAACCAAACTAATGTCCCAAGCATTAAATAAGGGCACCAAACTCAAGAAATTAACAAATGTTGTATATAGACATAACAGACAACTTGAGTCACTTTGTTAGTAGCAGCCTACTGCAAAAACACATTATTTATTCCCATTTCTTCTTACAGGTATTAAATGGTATTTTGGGGTAATTCCCAAAGAGCTGTTACCTGAAATGTCTTGGCATGGGGTGCAGTGTATCCTTATAAATTTGAGGAAACTTGACAAGTGAAGGGGAACAAAATTGATTTTTCAATTATTTATTTATTTTTTGTTCAACTCATCCTCAGTATGTATGGAGGAGGTCAGGAAAGAGGTATAACAGTTAGTATCTATAGCCATGTGCAAAACACTCTGTCATGGTTTGGGGCTGCATTACAGCCAGTGGTGTTGGATATGTGGTGAAAATTGATGGAACATATTTTAATCCACCGTGCAATACCATCTGAAAAGTGTCTGATTGGCAGTGGGTTCATTTATCACAAACACTGCCAACGCAGTAAAAGCGAAAACACACACGGATAAATTCGCCTACCTAGACCTCGGATCTCAACATTATTGAAGCAGTGTGGGATCATGTTGACAGAGAACAGAAGAAAAGGCAGAAACAATCAAAGAGGAGCTTTGAATGTCCTTCAAGAAGCCTGGTGAGCTATTCCTGAAGACTACATAAAGACATGACAAGAATGCTGCCTAAGAGAGTTCAGACTGAATAAACGTAGTCTAATACTGACCAAATATTGACATTCGAGCTTCTTAGAATTGTACAAACTATTTTTGCCTTATATTCTGTATTTCCATATATATGTATGTTTGTATATCACATTTTCCTGGCAAAATATGAAGAAATGAGGGGTTATGGGATTGCACTAAGTGATCCCATAAGAGTTGAAAAGCTAATCCATGTTTTTGAGGGCCAGGATAAGCCTTACGTTTTGGATGAGCATTTTTACAGAGGGGGAAAACAGATGTCTGGTTTTGGTTGAATATGGGATGTCCCTCCCCCCTGACTCTATGCCAAGCTTCTCTTACCCCTCCCCTACACTCCTGGCTTGACACATACCATTTGAGAACTCCTAATATAGACCCAGCTGCTTTGTAGAAAAGGCTAACAAACGTCTCAGTTTCCTGCTTTGAAAACCACTTTTTCATGGACATAAGACAGAGTCATGGAGCCTCGTTCACAGGTGAAATGTATATGATTGGGTGTGTCTGGGAGGTTGATAATATTTTTGAAACCAAGGAAATGAGTAGCTGTGGGGATTTTGTTGACAGTGATATATGTTATAGGTGTCATTCCCAGAAAAGAAGCAGGAAATACAGAGTCAAGGTACAATGCCTGGCAGTTGTCTGGGTTTGGATCTGTGCATGGAAATGTGCATATGTGTATTTGCATTTGTTGGCTTTGTGCTGTTAGCACTTTCCTTCGTTTTGTAGCTGTGTGTGTGCACGCATGAATATGTCCTCGTCTATAAGTGCCGAACCCTGTTCAAACAGTGTGTTGTGACCAGCTGGTGTATTTTCTCCTAGAGGCTGATGCCACAGTCTACATGAAATTCATGAAAAGTCACTGCTGTTATGATGCCATTCCAACCAGCTGTAAACTGGTCATATTTGATACCACACTACAAGTGAGCCTGAAGCTTTTCCATGAGCTGTTGCACATCTAGACTTTCATATTGAATTGTCACAGAGTGGTGTTATTTACCTGTAAAACATCACTGACTGAAAAATTTTTAACCCCAAAAGGTGAAAAAAGCCTTTTATGCACTGGTGGCAAATGGCTTGAGGGCTGCACCGCTATGGGACAGCAAGCTGCAGAGATTTGTGGGTAAGATGACGGATTAATGGGACAGATATGGTAGACTGGGCTCACTCGCTGGTAATAATGGGAATGTGAATCCTCCTCTGCCACAGGTATGCTGACTATTACAGATTTCATCAACATCCTTCACTGCTATTACAAGTCCCCCATGGTGAGCACTAAATTCCCACAGTTTGAAGCCACTCAGGTTGGACGCCCCTACTGTAGAGTTAAACAAAGGACTGGGGGCCACAATCAGCCCAGGAAAAACTCCAATCTGACCCACTGGACGTTTTAGAAACATGTGAAAGAGGGCATACATTTCTGACTTTTAACTTTCGTAAATTTTACAACTTGTCCTACTGATAAAGACCTCCCTCACAGCCATTCATACTACACCCATGTGACAGATAAACTATTAAATGACAGAAAAGTTCCTATTTTCTTGCTAGCAACTATAAAAATGCCTGTCGTCTTTTTTGTTTTTTTAAGGTTCAGATGTATGAGCTTGAGAGCCACAAGATAGAAACATGGAGAGGTGATTCCCTTCAAAGTAAATATGCAAGCGGGAATGAATGGCATTATCTGTGCCCAGAGGTCTATGAAATTCATCTGAGCCGTTTCTCTCCTCTTCTGTTTAGATGTTTATTTGCAGTATTCCAATAACTTCCTCATTAGTATCTCTCCAGAGGCCAGGTGAGTGGACACAACACTCTGAGGCACCTCTGTTTCAAATTCCAGTTGGCAGGCATTCCTCTTCTTATCTCTTCTCCATCCAGCCTCTTCGAAGCCATCTATTCCTTACTCAGATACAAAATCCACAGGCTGCCCGTAATCGATCCAGAGTCTGGGAATGTCCTGCACATTCTGACCCACAAAAGAATCCTCAAGTTCCTCCATATATTTGTGAGCAAAAGCTTTAGTTATGATGTTTTTTGTAGCCTTGAGTACCATGATACTTTGTTTTTCAAATATGGGTGTTTGGATTTTTTTAGGGGAAAAAACCTCCCAAGCCTGCATTCACAAAGAGGCCGATCCAGGAACTTGGGATAGGAACTTTCAGGAACATCGCCACTGTCCAGCAAACAGCATCGCTTTATGATGCCCTCTCTATATTTGTGGAGAGGCGGGTGTCTGCGCTGCCAGTGGTGGATGAACAAGGTACATTATACTCAGCTGTCGCTGTCACCATGTATATATTCTACAAAACCACAAGAGTAGCTCTGCACGGTTCACTGGTCACAATAATGCTTATCTGCCTTATATTGAGATGGTGCCGTTGTCATTAGCACTGTTGCCTCTCAGCCAGAAGGTCTTAGGTTTGAAGTGAGCAGTCAGCCAGAGGCATTTCTGTGTGGAGTTTGCATGCTTTCCCTGTGCTTCCCACAATCCAAAGATAGATTGATGCTTCTGATTGCCTGCCCCTTGTAAACAATAGCTTGAACAGCAGGTGGGTAGGTCCTGAGGGATATCCACTGTATATGATGTCATACAGAGCCGAGTGAAGAAAAACCTACTGGAAAGAATAATTTACGCCAGTCTGAAGCCTGAGCTTTTGGCTCACAGTGATCACTTGTATGTACACTTGTCAAGGCTGACTGTGTGTTGGACCCAAATGAAGGACTTGGAAACTACGTATACTCTAAGAAACAGCTTTACTGCAGAACTTAAACTGAGTACAAAATAATCCAGATCAAAACCAACCACTACAAACCTTCATGGAAATGTGCAAGGGAGGACACAATGAACAGCAGGAAACCGAGGACTTAAATACACACCAGGTAATAAGGGAGATGGGGAAACACCAAGGAAGACAGCCGCAACAAATCAGGATAACAAAGCAGGGGAATTAAAACAATATGAAGCACACAAAACACTATCAAAATAAACGCGGGCACACACAGAGAGACCCATAGGAACTTGACATAGAGACAGAAGATAAACAAACATGGAGATAAGGTAGAAGGGACAAAATGGAAATACAAAAGAGGAAATCAGAAAGCCAGGGAGACAGAACACAGAGTGACAAGGCAGACCCGGGGACATGCCGGAGGAACAGGAAGGGAGCACAAAGCTCGATAACAAAACATTGTGTAACCTAGAAGAATAAGAAGATAAACAGAGACTTAACTGATGGTATAATAATTTCCAAAGGAAAATATTGACTATACCAATATCCAAAACAGCTCGATTAAAACATAAGTGATCCTCACCAAGACCCAGGGACCATGACACCTCACCTCTCACCTCCTCATTTGACACTTTGGCCATGCTTTAATGTGTATCCACCACTGAAACAGTATACACATGACAGAAAAAAACTATAACAATAAAGACTGTTGGACCTGTAACCCGGTTATTACATTTTCAAACTATTTGTTTTCCCAGGCAAAGTGGTGGCACTCTACTCAAGATTTGATGTCATTGTAAGTACAAATCTAACATGACTATATTTAATACTCCACTTATTTTCCTTAAATATCAAAGCACTGTTCACACACACACTTTCCCAGATACCGTTTTTGATCCATTGCAGAACCTAGCAGCCCAGAAGACCTACAACAATCTGGACATGACGATGCAGGAGGCTGTTGAAAAGCGGATATGTTGCGTTGAGGGAGTTATTAAGTGCTATCCATATGAAACCTTGGATATCATTATAGACCGTATAGTTAAAGCTGAGGTAGACTTTTTTCAGCCTCTTTAAGATTTATCATGAAATTATGAGGTCAAAGGATAATAAAAGATAAGTCCTTTGTGCTTATCCCAGGTCCATCGGCTGGTCCTGGTGGACAGGGCTGATGTGGTGAAAGGCATCATCTCTCTGTCTGACCTGCTGCAGGCAATGGTCTTAACCCCTGCAGGTATTGATGCCCTCTTGTCCTAGCACCAGGGGAAAAGGGTCCCCCTGCCCTCCTTTAGCACCTGTGTAGGCTTGAGTCTTGGCAGTGCACCCAGGCAGGTAGGCTCATGACCCTCTTTTGTGTTTGTGCTGTTTGACTGATGCTTTGTTTCATTTTCTACAGACTCCCAAGTTCATTTCTAAGTAGTGTGATTAGAAATGTTCTTTTTTGTTTTACAGAAATCGACATGTGACTGAAATGAGCACTCATACCAGGAAGAAATAATCCCCAACTCTACTGCTGTTTATATGCTTTCTGGACCCTAATGCCTCAATGCATCTGCACAGCTCCACAACACAAAGCAGCATTTGATCAGCTTGATCAGTAAATGTTGACTGATTTTGATAACATTTCTCAATTAAATTTGTATTTAAGCTTGTTGTGTTGTCTTTTCAGTGCCTCGCCTCTAAAAAAACTCAAGTATTTGGCCTTCAATTTATCTCACAGATTTTCAATGGCAAGTCACTCCAGTTCTTGATACTTATAAAAGCTCTGATAACTTTGTATATCCATCTCCTGCTTTGTGAGCATCAAAAGCTCTTTTTCCTCAAGTCTAATTTCCTTTGTTTTTTTTCCTTAATGAAATTTTAAATCTGTTTAATCTTTATAAGCGTTGCTATTTAAAAAAAGAATTCTGTCATGTGCAAATACAAATAATCTGTTTTCTAAAGAAAACTAATATGAAACGAAAATAAGCACGTGCGTGAGGAAATCTTGATTAAAAAAAACGTTAAATTTAATAGTTTAAAATTGTATAAAATGTTGCATAACAATCAGTATCTCTAACCACGGGGTGGTACTCTTTGGCTTTCTTTAACCCCGTCTTCTCTACACAGTAAACAAGGAAACACGTGACTCTATTTTTTCTGTTGACGGGCTGTATGATCCGTCCGCCCATCTGTGTACCCGTCTTTGCGACAAACTGGGATCGGAAGAGGAGTTACCTTCAAAATAAAATATACTCGCAGGTCACAGTCTGCACCTACACACACACACACAAAACATAATCAAGTTTTTTTTGTGTAATTGTTATAGGAAATGGAAATGCATCTGTATAACTTCAGGTATAAGTTGGCGTTTATTTATGTATTTGTTTATTTATTTTTGCAGTTTTGCATTTTTCTATTCCGTTTAGTTAAATTTAGCTATCAGAGTTTCACGGCACGTTTCAGTATCACCTTTATTTTAGTCATTTTATTATTATTAGAATATCTTATGGCGGTCTTCTCAGAAGCAAGGTCAATTTTTCTTTTAACATAAACTTGACAGAAAGACGTGACTGTGCTCGCTGATCTTTATCAACCCACTTTATTTTGAAAGTTTTAACCGGAAGCTTCGTCGTTTTCACTTTGCCCTGCTTGACCCTCATCTTTCCATATACCCCGTGATCTCCAAAACAACATAACAAAGTGGGGGAAACATGGCGAGCGGAGAGGAGGCCAGAAGACGCCCCTCGGTTACCTCCTCTTCGGTCGGCCTGGAGGCCCTGTTCCCTGCGGGGACGTCGGAGCAGGCGTGCGGGGACGGAAACCCGGAGCTCGTTCGCTTGCGGGAGCGTCTTCAGGGTTGGCTATCGCAGTATGAACTCCTGCTGCTGTGGGTGCAGAGGCTGCTGGTCTGGGAGAGGCCGCTGTACAGCATCTTTGTCGCCCTGACACTGAACACATTATTCTGGTAAACGTCGAGTCTACGTTTAATCACGCTTGTCTCTCACGCTGATAAGGCTGCTTTGGAGTGCATTGTTAGCTATCTGGCTAACGTCAGCGAGGGTATTACGAGTGAATGTCAAGATAAGTTAGCTAATCCCACGTCTTTAGCCTAATGCTAACGAAGGTTGCAAGCCAGTTTAAACTTCCTTTTCGGCACGGCATATGTTCCCTGCTAACTATAAGGAATTATATTATATAGATAAAGGTTATTTTGAGGTGTCACACCTGTTAATACCGCAATTCAAGAGAAGACGTAAAGATGAGTGGCTCAGGCCTGGTTGACCAGCTGTCAGTTTGCTGTCTGATTACTTTACCTTGGCTTATATTCAACCAGAGCAATAGGGCTTTAATAGATTCCCCGTATTTGAATTTATATACATGAGTGTGTTTGTGTTTCTGCAGGATCCTGTCCTCCACCTCCCTGCGGCCTCTGTTTCTGATAAGCGTGTCCCTGCTGGGGCTCATGCTGCTGGAGAGATGGAAGCCCAAGTTACCCATCATTACTGGTAAGGTGTCAAAGTAATCACAATGATGCCTTCCTCTAATAGTTCGCGTAATGTTGTCTGTCAGGTATTGCTGACAAAGCTAAAATTCTATTCAAGTTGAGGTTGTTCCTCCACTCACACACATCGTGTGATTTCTGGTATTATATTAACTGAATAGTCAAACATCTACAAAATATGTTACAAGGCTGAAAATATTCTGCTAATATTCAATGTGAGAATCATTAAAATCTGAAATTGTGATGCTGTTTGAAAGTGCAAACCAAACCTGCATGCAGTGATTTGCAAATCTGCCAAATTCTATTCACAATAGAATGTAGAAAACATGTTTAAAAATATGAGCTCCTTTTGAGTTTGATGGCAGCGACGTGTCTCACAACTGTTGGGACAGGGGAAGGAAAAGGCTTTAAAAGGAAGCGGTCCTTAAAAAGAAACAGCTGGAGGAACTTTTTGCAACTCGCTGCATTCTCTTTATATTTTACACAGCGGCCCAACTTTTTGTGGAACTGGGGTTGTAGGAGAAAAAAAAGATGTTTCGACAGATTCTTTGCTAATTGTGGGTTGTTTTTTGTTTGTTTTTTGTGTCTCTTCTACAGTTCAACATGTAGACGCTCATCCTGCACAAAGGTTTGTAGTGTAATAAGTTGATTTTGTTTTCGTAAGCAGTGCTTTTTCCTGTGTTAATGTAGTGTAAAAGTCATCCATTAAAGTCTGTCCATGTCGGATGTTATGACCCGTTTGTTACACAACACTCTGTCATTATAATTAATTTCAGGCTCCCTGCCTCATTTAGTGTGTTGTGTTTATGTTCACTTGTGTGCATCTGTCTTCCTCCACCATCATTACGCAAACATGAAATCCTAACCTGCACCTTTGCTAACATAAGTACAGCCTGAACTGCTTCAAATACAGATCTGTGTCCGTCACAGGTGTTGAATTTTTTTTTCTTCCCGTGTGTGTGTGCGTGTGTGTTGTTGTTTGATCATAGTGAGACAATGAGCGCGGAGCAGCGTCTGCTCAGCATCCCTGAGCTCAGCCACCACCTGGCTGAGAGTTATCTGACCTGTTGCATGTATCTGCAGGAGATGCTGCAGTATAAACGACAGAACCATGGCAAGGTACGGTGCTTTGGTGTGACCATGGAAACGCATATGCACACATGTTATTGGGGTAAATCTCTAACAGTCCAAGTATAAATGTTTATGTGATTGTTGTCAGGTCTGTTTTTCTTTCTTTCTTTCTTCTTCTTCTTTTTTTTTTTTTTAAAGAAAAAAGCCAATTCTTCTAGCCATCTTACCAGCTCTGTGTTTTTATTCTCAGACTTTAACAGACGAGCTTTGCATGATTATTTACAAAGTTCAGAATAGTACTTATGTATTACAATGGGACTTAGTTCTTAGTTCCCGTCAGTTTGTGCACTGAAACTTTACTTACTTTAGAGCCACCCACCCTTCAAGCCAACTTTCTGACTGAAAACCATGAACTAAAAAAAATCTCTGAACAATAGGTGCGTGGGGCCCTGTGAGAGCTGTATCCCTGAGATGACCTTGTCAGGGATATCCGCTCAGTATCTGAGTGATTAGTGTAGTCTGAAGCTCAATGGGACTACTTGTATATATGCTGGCCTCACTACTTGAAGGGTTGAGATTCATATTCAGGTTTAAGATGAACTAAGCTAAGACTGTCAATAAGGAAAGGCAAATTTAACGTAGTCATGAGAAGTGCTGGGGTTGTTACACAACAAAAGTAATGTATTAGGAATTGCTTATTACTTTTAGTAATGCAGCATATTACTTAATTATTCCTCAAAGTAAGTAATTCATTACACTACTCATTATATTACTTTCTTTTTACTCCATAAAATGCCCGTAAACACACACTCATAATCACCAACTTACAATGTAAAGGTGAGGTTACAGTTCATCACATCAGCACAGATCCCTGTCCGAATAAGGAAACACACACAATCTTTCTTTGAGTTTATATTTTAGTTTTTATGTGTAAACACAAAGAAAAGTTGAAAACCAGCCCAAAGAGACTTTTAAGCAACTGCCACAATGATTCTGATGTAGAAATGTGTCCAGATGCAAGCCTGACTGCTGCCTCTGTTACCTGATGAAGTTCAGGCTTTAGCTGCTGGGCTGAGGTCTGCATATACTCAGCTATAACGTCCCTCTGGGTTCTTGGCTAACTTTGTGTTAACATGCTGTATGTGCAGGTCTTGCAAAGAGACAATGTTGCATTAGCAGCATAATGCAATTGTTTGTGTCCTGGAGACAGTTCCCACTTCACTATCATGTTCTTTTGCTTTTGTACATTAAAAATAAAAGTAACGTCCACATTTCCACTCCTCCCCTTCACCGTTTTCCTCTCGCTAAATGAGTCTGATTGTAGTGCAAGACTACAGCAAGAAAAAACAAACACATGACTTGGACTTGGACTTTGGGAATCTCAAATAAGTAATGTAGGCTTAACAACACATTAAACAACTCCTTAAATGTCCTTTTAAAGTATTTTTGATAATATGACAGAATTAGTCTGCTTTATGTCTGAAAGTGGACCTTGGTTACTTTTTGGAAAACTCACAATGGCGGTCTTCCAAGGTAAATCTAGTCACATTTACACATTACTTTCAACACGGCACAATTCTTAAAGAATGCCATTGTGTCAGTTAATAGACACGCACGAGATTAGACTGTGATTGTTCCCCCTTCTTGAGCGAGTTGCTCAACTAAATGAAAAACTGGATCGTTTTGGAGAAATAACTGAAAAAGCTTCCAGTTTCTTTCTCATCATTCTACTCTGCCCAAACATGTCTCGTAGAATCTGTCCTTTGTGATAAACAGCTTTTTTCCCCCCCCTGCAGTGAACATGACATCTGCAATATTAGGCTTTGGCCAAATTTCACCCAGAACTTTACATGTTTTGATAACGGAGGTCAGATAACAGAGAGATGTGTCTAATGAAAATGAGACCGTTACCCTGTGGTGAAGTTAGTTTGTTGCTTCCAGCTGTTTGCAGAAGTCTTTCTCTTTAGTTTTGAGTTGTATGTATTTGCACACGTGGCACAAAGTCGATAACCTCGTTAATTACAGTGAATTATCTTCAGTCGTTACAACTTAATATCCATCAT